TCTCTATTGGTTTCAAAACGAAATAATTACACCAGAAAATTATTATATTTAACAAATTAATTAAGATTCAAGTTCAAACATAGTTTAACTGTGAAACTTTTTGGAAAAACGTGTTCTGGTCTGATTTGGGACTTCCATAATAAAATATACTATTTTTTTTTTTTTTAAGTAAGTTTTGTTCAAACCTTTTAAGGTTTAGCAGAATTCATCATTAAATAAGAAGTATGGTTTAGAAGCAATACCAGTTTTTATATTTTTCAATATATTAAATGATTTACTTTCGTTTCTATACCCCATTATCATTATTTAGGGGCATATTTGATATCAAAACCTTAACTAGCAGTTAATTAATGAATTGATGGACTGTTATACAGGATGAAACAAGTTAATACGTTTTTTAACTGTTTATAGAAGTCGTTTAAATAAAAATATTTCAAAAGGCTCAAAAATAAGATACAGAATTAAAAAATCTACCTTCGGGCCTGGACTTGTGTATGAAAAGTTAAGCTAAATAAGAAGTTTAAATTACTAAATTAATGTAAGTTTCTTATTTTGAAAAAGTCGTTTATTTTAATAACTTCTATACACAGTTTAAACAAGAATCAACTTAAGATCCATCTTGATGATGATTTAAAAACAAAAAATAAAAACAAAATTTTAACAAAAAAACTAAACGAACGAATTTTGATTGTTGAGCTTCCAATGGCAGTATAAAAAATTAAATTAACTAAATAATTATCTTTCCTTGGCCGAATGCAAGAAATTTAATCATCAAAATACACCTAATTTTAAAAACACTGTAATATACAATTTAGGATACAATACACATACCTATAATAGAAATTTTCTACTAAAGAACGAACTGCCAACCTGTTGTTATATTGACAAGTATGACTTAAATAGCCGAAACTATAAATTTTTCGTAAATAACTGACTACAATTAATAACGAATTAGAAGTATTAGATATTATCAAAAGTTTTTTCATACTACGAGGTGCGGGGAAAAAATAATCAGACAGATCGTTCTGCAGACAAATCGTGTGGGCATCAAAAAGAATACTAGCGTGTCACGTGACATCTCAATTCTCTATTTGTTATCAACCTAGTGGTTCTGCTTAACTTAATTGAAAAAAACGTTCCATGTGTTCAAGGAGATCAACGTGTCAATGTAAAATTAGGAAAATCCTAGAAGAAACGCAGGCGATTTGGGCCCAGGATGATCTTGCACTTCAAAACCAGACGCAAACATTTATCCTAAAAATTTATTAATTGAGTATTTATTTTGGGCTGTCCATAGGATTCGAAAAAGAACAAAATTTGATTTGGTACTCTTTATAGTGTTTTCTTTCATTATATCACGAAAAAAAAAAACAAAATCCGAAGTGAAGTAATGATATTTTGCTAATAAATTATAGTAAAATAATCTTTGTAGACATGGCTGACATGAACTGTAACCGTAAATATATTTCAGTTAACAGCCCTAATCACCGGATCTTGCACCATGTGCCTTTTTTAATTACCAAAGGTTGAATAAGAAACTGAACGGATCCATATTTGGGAAAGTACAGCTGTCAAATAAAAAGCGGGGGAAACCATGAACATGCTTTCAAAAAATGATTCAACGGTACTGCTATGGCGAATAGAAAATTCAGAAGGGGGGTATATTGAAGACGATAATGATAAATTTGTACGTTTTTTTAGCTACACCTCGTACGTTGACTATTTTATAGATAAAAACAAATTCTTGAATAATGCGGTTAATTTATTATCTTCATTCAGCCATTTTTGTCATATTGTATTACAGATTGGCAGTATTATACGTCAGCGTAGAAGAGGCAAATTAATTTTTTTTATATCTTAAATTCCATGGTTGAAGAACTAGAAAATATTAAATTCCGTGTATGAATAAGGAATTTCCATAGTTGAACGAAATTCAATGTTCAAATACGGAATTTCGTATTTGAGTGCGGAATTACGTGTAATTTCCGTGTTCAAGCACGGAATTCCTTGTTAAAAAACACAAAATTCTTGTTCGGAAAACACGGAATTCTGTGTTAAAACATGGAATTCCTTGTTTAAACACAAATTCTTTATAAGAACACGGAATTTCTTATTTAAACAAGGAAATGTTAAATGCCATGTTGGAACACTGAAATACCTTTTTCAAATACGGAATAAAGTATTCCAATTGGGAATTTTATATTCGAACACGGAATTCCGTATATAAGCACGGAATTTCATATTGCCTTTGTTTGAATAACGAATTTCCATATTAAAACAAAGAAATATGAAATTCCGAGTTTTAATATGGAATTCCGGGTTTGAATACAGATTTCCGTGTTTGCATGAATTTTCTTGTCCGAAAATGGAATTCCATATTTGAACTAGAAAATATGGAATTTCGTCTTAATAATTCGTTGTCCGAATACGAAATTCCTTCTTCGCACACGAAAATTCTTTACGCGAATACAGAATTCCGTATTTAATCACGGAATTTCATATTTGCCTTTTTCGTATTAGAACAAGGAAATATGAAATTCCGTGTTTAAATATGGAATTCCGTGTTTAAATATGGAATTCCGGGTTTTAATACATATTTCCGTTTGCATAATGCATAAGAAATTTCATCTTAATAATTGTTCGTTCGAACGCAGAATTCCGTATTTAAAAACGGGATTTCATATTTCCTTTGTTTAAATAAGGAATTTCCGTATTTAAACAAGGAAATATGAAAATCCGTGTTTGATTACTTAATTTCGCCCGATTGATTACCGAGTCCGAATATAAAATTCTATATTTGAACATGTCTGAAAACGAAATTCAGTGTTTTTACTTCAAATTATGTAATAAAACGACGGAATTCAGTTTTCAATAATGAAATTCCTTGTTCGAGCACGAAAATTCTTTACTATAACACGGAATTCCGTATTTGAGAAAAAAAAATCCGTATTCAAACTTGGAATTCCGCATTCAAACGTAGATTTCCCATATTTTAACATGTGATTTCATATCTCCTTTGTTTAAATAAGGAATTTCCGTATTTAAACAAAGTAATACAAAATAAAACAAGGAATTTCGTGTTTTAATACGGAATTCCATGTTTGAAAACGGAATTCCGTGTTTTAACATCAAAGAATTCTGTATTAAAACGACGAAATTCAATGTTAAAACATGAACGTTATTATTCGAAAATGGAATTCTGCATTTGAGAAAGAAACTGTAAAATTCCGTATTCAAACTGGGAATTCTGCGTTCAAACATAGATTTCCGTATTTTAACACGGATTTTCATTTCCTTTGTTTGAATAAGGAATTTCCGTAATTAAACAAGAAAATATGAAAATTCCATGTTTTAACTAAAAAATATAAAATTCCATGCATGAATACGGAATTCCTCGTTCGGACAAAGAATTCCATATTTGAACAACGAAATACGAAATAAACACAAAATTTCGTGTTTTAATACGGAATTCCATGTTTAACTCGGAATTCCGTGTTTGAGTATGGAAATACAGAATTCCGTGTCTGAATATAAAACACGGAATTGCGTTATAAACATGGAATTCCTTATTCGAATACGAAAATTCTTTATTAGAATACTGAATTCCGTATTTGAGAAGGACGTGAAATTTTTTGTTGCAACACGAAAATACCTTAGTCAAATACTGAATTCTGTATTCAAACTGGGAATTCCATATTTAAACACAGATTTCCGTATTAGAACAAGGAAATAAGAAATTCTGTGTTTGAATATGAAATTCCGGGTTTGAATATAAATTTCCATATTTTAACAAGGAAATAGGAAATTCCATTTTTGAATAAAGAATTTCAGAATTTGAACAAGCAGATACGACATTCCGTTTTCAAACGATTTCCATATTTGAATTAAAAATATGAAAATCTGTTGAAACACGGAAATTCCTTATTCCATATACAGATACGGAAATTCATATCTTTGTTTAAATAAAAAATTCCTTATTTAAATGCGGAAAAAAGTGTCCATTGTACGCTTCCGTATTGTTCTTAAGAAGAACTGTTGAATTATAAATATTTCAATTACTTTAATCAATTCTAAAATTATTATAAAAAAAATACAGTCCAAAAAACAGAATTCCAGAAAAAATCGATGTACCACCGTTTCCGAAAGAGTCAAATTAAATAAACGATAAATAAATTTCGAATCAAAAATAAAACTCAAAAATGCAACCAAAAACAATCGGCTCAATTTATTTACAATATTTTTGATTCATTAAAAACAAAAAAAAAAACACTAAAGTTAAACCAGCACAAAGTTTATGCTCCAGCATAACGTTTGTCTCAAATTACATGATCACAATTGATTTAAAACTCACTATTTTTTTTCGATTGGTAAAAATATACCAACTATTATTGCGATAAAATTACAAACTCAATAAATTAAGATTAGAGGTTAGGAATTTTTCAAAACGAACCTAGTCGTTATTGCGTTTGACGTTAACGGTAACTGTCGTCTGTCATTCTTGTCAATGTCAAATTATGAAAACCGATAGCTTTGATTCAGATGACTGCATAAATGCGACTGTTTTAGAAAGAGAAAAGCTGAAAATTGATTGAATTAAAGAGGGAAAGTTCCAAGGTCTATATGTATAAACTGCGTTGGCTGGGACTTTAGCAGAGTGCGTTTTTTCAATGTTCCACGGGAATTTAAAGATGGGCAGTAACAAATCTGTAACTGTCAATCTTTAATTTCACATAATATAGCAGAATTTTGATGTTTTGTTCAATGACGCGCTCTCAGCCAACCACGTTTTATAAATATGGGCCTAAGTGACAGTATCTTTTTACAAAACATGGCCCGCTCTAGATAACTTCGGAGCTAAAGTTTGTTGCAATCACCTTTAACCTCAAACGCAACGATGACCGATGCATGATAAGACTTGTTGCATAAATTTATACAAAATAAAGGATCTATGAAAAACATATAAAGGACATTTTAATAATAAAAATACCAAATTATTAGTATTATTCGTTATTTTGATTGCGGCGCTCCTCGACAAGAGATTGTATCTTACGATTCGATGCTCTCTTATTTGCCGCGATTTCTATATCTAAATCGTCGTCGGCTAAAAGTCGTTTACCAGCGACTCTATTGTTGTTCACCAGCTTGTTGATGTCTTTTAGATCCTGATTGAAAAATAATAAGAAACGATTTTTAAATTAATTCCCAGATTCTTAATTACGTAAAAAATAATAACACAAGAAGAGTCTTACCTTTGATGGACTGCGACTGAAAAAATAGTTAAAGCCACCGGTAGAAGCCGTTGATGGACTTTCTAATGGTCTGACAAATACGTTTCCGACGACTTGAATGCTAGGGGAAATCAGGTCCCTTTTGACGGCTGGTAAAGGACTTAAGAGTAAATTACCATTCTGAAATAAAGACCAAGTTAAAGTTTATTTCATTAAATAACAAGTTATAAAAGTAATTTAAAAAAAACTAGCTTCACATATAAAGAGTTTGACGATTTTTTTTACGGATTCCATTATCAGATCTTATATGGGACCACCCCTGAGGTAAGAATCATATAAATAACATTGAACATACATAAAAAATATTCCGACAATTATTATTGGTTTATTGTTGTTTAAATACAACTGTACCTCCATATTTGAACACTTTACGAGTCACATAACAAAACTAAATAGTTTATAAAACAACTGACCAGCTCAAAATTCAGTGAACATTAGAACATTATAGAGTATAAACTAAAAACATCCAAACATACTATTAGACAACATAGACATAAGAAAAAATAGTACTATCTTTTATCTCCTTTTTGACAATACATTTTTTACTCACACGCATTGGAAGTTAAAAATAATTTTTAAGGAACACCAATGTAAAGCCTAACTAATAGAATTGAAACCTCGAGCGTCATGCCAACAACTGGTAACCCCAAGTTATAAATGGACGTGACATCATAGGAAATATTTAGGGAAAAAATAGAAAACAGTAAAAATTAAAATGAATTTTTGAATATACTGTCAGCCGTATTGTCAATAACGAGAAAATTAGCTAGTAAGGGATCGATTTAATTCACTTACCGGTATAGAACTCCGGAATCGTACTGCAAACCTCTGCATCACCTCCACATAGACAGAATTATAAAAACTAATAAGGTCGCTCCTTTTTTCAGCAACAGTGCCATCTAAAAATGAGAAACATTAATAAACCAGAATTAATCTACTTATAACACCAAAAAAACTCACTTTCATCATCAGTAATCTCTCTAGAAATCAAAACGTCTCTATACACATTGCTCCCGCTTTGCGGTTGGTCCCTGTAGAATTTCATAATGTCCTGGAACTTCAAAGTCGAATTTGATATCCTACATATTACGTAAACTGCGCACATCAATAGTTGATCGAGGTGTCTGTCTCTTATTAAATCGCTATTCCTTATCGAATCTTCAAAGACAGTCCAAATTTTTTGTTTGACTTCGATGTCGGTCAGACCAAGTTTCATGCACAGGTGCTCCATTCTCAACCCAGCCAAATTATAGAACTGGAAAATTATAAATTTAGCAGTCGAAGTAGTATGAACAACAAATTTATAAGATATTTTGCAAAACATTTTTGGGACAAAATACAAAAAATGTAAAAACTCTTTATTGTCTCATTACTTTTGTCTTTATGAATTGTTTCAAGGCCTGCATAAGAAACATTTGGGATAGATTAAACCCTTTCTCTCTTTGACTTCAAACGATCTTATGAGCGAAGTAGGATGAGGTATTTAAATTCTTCACTAAATAAGATTTAAAATTCAGGCAAGGTTGTGAGTTTTTGCTTTTAAAATAACCGAATGTTATATGGTGACAAACTAACGCCCAAAATTGTCGTGATATTTTATGAAAATTTGTCGTGAGGTGTTCTATTTTCAAATGTGATATATTTAATAATAAAAGCATTTATTGCTCAACAGTTTTCCATTTACAAGACAAATTAACTAAGAAATTAATAAACTAAGAAATTGATTAACTAAGAAATTAACTAAGAAATGAATTCACTAAGAAATTAATTAACTAAGAAATTAATTAACTAAGAAATTAATTAACTAAGAAATTAATTAACTTAGAAATTAATTCACTAAGAAATTAATTAACTAAGTAATTAATTAACTAAGGAATTAATGAACTAAAACAAGAAAACAAAAAGATTATACTAAAAGTAAAAAGTAGTAAATATTTTATGATTATTGTTGTTGATTGTGCATGCTTTTACAAGATAAATGTGATTAGAAATTAAAATGTCTTATTTCGGTTATTAATTATAATTTATTAGTTTTTCTCACCTTTCTGAATATAAGAGATAAGCTGTTAAGTTTTCGGGGTTGTCCATAGGATGAATCATTGTTTATTAATTCTTTCTTGTCACAATCCATTATAGGTATGAGCTTTTTGTTTCCATCCTTATCAGTGATCACTACAAAATGGTAAAACAGTGTAAAGAAATTATTTGCCTTAAAAGAATGAATTCTAAGAATTTTAATATTATAATTATAGAAATTGTTAATAAAAAAAATACTAACTTAAGTGCGTGTGTTTTTGTAACACAGATTGTCCAGATTGGACTTGAGAAAAGAGTTGTCTACTTGCAGAATTCACGGGAGATTGAAAACGATCTAAAGCTGATGGTACAGGAGAGTGCGTATCTGTAAATATTAACGTTAGAATTACTGTAAAAATAGATTAAAACAGATGTTTTAAGTAATGCATAATTTCCTCTAGGGAACATACTGCAATAATTCGAATCGTTTGAAAAAATAACCAAAATAAAAACGGTATACTTCACTGTATAGACAGAGTTCAAAAATAAAATGCTCTTACATCTTTGATTCGAAATTTACATTAAACATTGTGTTAAGAGCCCGTTAAATAATTAATACACAACTACCAAAAAATGTTTAATAAAAGGTAGCAATGCCACTAGGTATGTGTTTTTATTCTATTTTAATACTTAATATGTTTACTAAATATAGCAGAAACTAAATAAATGTGCATAAAATATATTATTAAATCAAAACTTACTAGAACCATTTGATTCGCTGGTCCCATTCCTTACGGAATGTCTATCACTGTACACCAGATGGCCCGGTAAAGCAGTCGATTCATATTTTGGAATTCCTTCTCCAGAACTATTGATTGCACCCCAAATGGGACTGTCAGATTTCCAAATAAGAGTCTCAAGAATTGTTTCTTCTATCTGGATATACAGAAAACTTATTTAATTAACGAAGTGTCCACTTGCAACAAAAATATAGCGCCAGGTTAAAGAAATACGTTAAATGTTAACATCAATACAACTGAAGAATTAATTATTTATTAAATAGCTGATGATCCCTTAACTTTATTAGACTGTGCCTAGTTTGAAGTTCATGTAATTCTAACAAATCACTTCTCATGAACTATTAATGAAGTAGTAATTAATTATTGATAAACTATTAATGAACTAATTAACTATTAATAAACTATTAATTAATTATTAATGAACTAATAAGAAACTATTATTGTATCATTAATAATTATATTAATGAGTTAACTATTATGAAGTAACTATTAATGATTAACTATTAGTTAACTATTAATTATTAACTATTATTGAACTTATTATTAACTATTAATAAACTAATAAGGAAATATTAATGAAGTAGTTATAAAATACTAATGAATTATTAAAGAACTATTATCGCGCGCATTACGTATGAATGAATTAACTATTAAGAAAGTAAATATTAATGAATTAACTTTTAATAAAATAACTGTTAACAAATATTAATTATTAAAGAGCCATTAACTAACTATTGATTCATTAATTAATAAATATTAGTAAGCTAATAACAAATTAATGCTTTATCACTTATTAACTATTTATTAAGTAACTGTTAATTGCCTATTAGTTACCTATTCACTATATTAACTAATCATGAACTTTTTCACCATTACTTATTTTTCTTTCTTCTGAATTTCTTTTGAAAAAAGTATTCTAATGGAAAAATATTCTGCCAATGGCAATTTGATGTATGTTTTTGGGCAATCACATTCTGTGATTATAAGTAACAAATTTCTGTAAAAAAACACTTACCCTATTTAAGTGTTTGACCATCTCTCTAGAAAGCTGATCTTTAGACCTCACTATTAATTCAATCACTTTCACGAAATGCAGAGGTTGTATTTCGAAAATATCCAAGATAAATGGAAATTTATTAGGAAAATTATAGGAAAATAGTACTATTTCCATACAGCAAGCAAACATGCATTGATAGAAAAGCTCCTTTTTCAATAACGTCTGCAAAACAAATATTTGTTAAGTAACCTTTGATATTTTTATATAAAATTACTCACAGATATATCGTTCCTAATTTTCTTTTCATTTTCTAAAATATTTTCTATAAACTTATAAAACAACGTGATGCCGATTTGGATTCTATTTCTAGCGTCTTCCTCTTTGTTAGGAAGGGCACTGATGTAGACTGATACAAATTTATCAACTAAAGTATTTAAAACTTCTTGAATGGTCGGCAGTGGATCTACTTGGCAATTTCTAAAATAAAAAAATAATTTCCTTAAAACCTAGATTTTTATACCAGTTGATATGGCAACGCAGCTAATTTCGCTAACTTACTCAAATAAGGCCAGTAAGGATTCGCTGGCTGCGGGAGACCTATTGTTTAAAATATTATGCAATCTTGTGATTTTCTGTGTAATGGTTTTATCCATGGACAGAGGTAAAACGTCCGCCTCCCTGGGTAAGTACACTCTGCCGGTCAACGGTGTGTCCGATCCACGAGGTGTTGCCTAAAAATATTATTATAACATTATACTGTATTTTTTTTTATATAGTATACACTTACCGCTCCAAAGGAGTTTGTATTATTCGGTGGTGAAGCTATCACAGATTGTTCTGTTGAAAAAGATTCTTAATTTAAACAAAAACAAACGATTTTGTCATTTATTTTAGAAGTTTCATGTGATTCTACAAATATTTAAAATTACCTATTAAGTATTAATAAACTAGTAATGAACTATTAATTAACCATTAACGAACTATTAATGGACTATTAATTAATTATGAATGATCTATTAATAAACTACGCTATTTATTAATGAATTATTGTCTAATTAGTATTGAACTAATCACCAACCATTAATGAACTAATAATGAACTATTAATGAATTAAATGAACGATTGGTGAAATTTCAATAAACTAAGCTATTAATGAATTGTTTATTAATGATCTACTAGTTAGCTATTAATAACTTATTTAATTGTTAATTAATTAATAATTAAAATTTATTATTAAATAACTATTAATTAGCTATTAATGTAAATATTAATTAACTACTAATATAAAATGATAATTAACCATTAATATTTTTGTTTTAGCAAATTGATTACCAAACGATTATTTGTCTAATTTGACTTAGTTTATAAGACAAACATGAAAAATGAAATAATACATGTTCAAAAACTAGCTATTTAGTTTATAAATAACTTTGAATATTAACTATTAATAAATTATTAGTGAACTCTTAATGAATTATTAATGAACGATGTATTAAATGTTAATGAACTATTAATAAATTAAGCTATTATTGAATTGTTTATTAATGAGCTTATTAGTTAACTGTTAATTAACTATTAAGTCATTATTATTTAACTATTAATGAATTATTAATTAAATATTAATAAAATATTAATGAACTATTGATTAAATATTGATAAACTATTTATTGATGAACTATTAACTAACTAGTATTAAACTATTAATGAACTGTTTGCTTTGGAATGTCGATCACAAGCAACGTTCGGCCATATGTGCTTGGAAAATGACATGTTTTCATATGAATATATAGGTTACCTTGATTATTTTTTACCTTTGTCACTTATACACGACGTTCGGCTATTTTAAGTGTGAATAGGTGAAATTCGTACTTAAAGGGTTAATGAAATATTAACTAATTAGTATTGAACTGTTAATGAACTTATAATTAACTATTATTGAATTATTGATGAACGATTGAAAATATTAATGAACTATCAATAAACTAAGCTATTAATAAACTGTTTATTAATGAGCTATTAGTTACTATTAATTAACCATTAATTATTAATTAACTATTAATTAACTACTAATTAACTGTTAATTAGCTATTGATTAACTATTAATATATAATAAAAACTTACCAGCAAAAGTTACAGATGATGCTCTACCAATTTGCGCCCAAGTGTTATTTTGTTGTTCCAGCAATTGCCGACGGTATTCAGCTAAAAATTGTATTGAAACGACTTTTGTTGAAAACGTTTTGAACGATTTTAATATTAAACTTTATCTTTATTTTTTGTTTTCTTATATGTTATTTCTAGATAGTCAAACAACTTTCTTCTTCATTTATTCAGAACGTATAAATGTGATTATGTAAATATTTTTGGAATAATTAAATATAAAAAAAGCTTTATTTTACTCACCAAGAAATATTCTCTCGTCCACATCAGCACAATTTAGTAAATGCGTCTCATAAGCATTAACAACATTTTTAAAATTCTGCTCAAAATTATGTTGATCGAACAGTCCAGTGAAATTTCTATTATCAGCTAACAGAACCTTATTATTTATCAAATTCCCAATAAGTCTTCTCAGCACATACACCTTCATGTACCTCGCTTCAGTTACCACTGAAGGACACTTACACAAATAGCTTATCAAGCAAGGGGCTTCCTGGGGAACAATGAAACCAGGGTTGTTCCAATCTGCAGGTAAACCTTCGAAATTCGGATTAAGCAAGTCTCTACGTTCCGCCAAAAAGGCGTTCTTGAACGCTAAATCTAAGCAGGCGTACAATAGATGAAACGATTTTACCAACTCGGAACTGCACTGCGGATCTTCGCCTTTTAGTGTGATAAAAAGGTTCCAAATAAATTCGAAAACTTTGGAAGTATTGCACAAAACTGGTCTAAAAATTTTTACATATAAGCTACATCTTTTAAATACATTGGATAATTGTTATACCTCAATTTCCTATTCCTATGTTGTTTAGTAGTTTCCAAGTCTGTCGAATTGGGCGAGGCAAATATTTTAGAAAAAATTGGGTAGAACCTTTTGAATGTGTTGTGAGCTACACCGAAAGTATCTTTAAGACGGTCGATTTTTCTTCTGAATTCGTCCGGCAAATGGGCCATGTCTGCCCACTTATTTATATTGTTAAAAAACTGTGCAAAACTAGAAAAAAAGTACTTATGACAAGAGCATAAAAATAAAACCTTTTGAACTTCTGTTTTTTCATTTATTTGTTTTTTAGGTATTGGTAATAGGACATTTTCTGATACCCTGATATAGGAATTATCATCAAGTAATTTATAAATATTTGTAAATTAAAAGATTGTGAGAGAAGGCATTAATATTGTAAAATTATGTTAATATGCTTAAAATTATGTCAATAAGCTTGAAATTATGTCAATAAGCTTGAAATTATGTCAATAAGCTTGAAATTATGTCATAGGAATTATCATCAAGTAATTTATAAATATTTGTAAATTAAAAGATTGTGAGAGAAGGCATAAATATTATAAAATTTATGTTAATATGCTTAAAATTATGTCAATAAGCTTGAAATTATGTCAATAAGCTTGAAATTATGTCAATAAGCTTGAAATTATGTCATAGAAATTATCATCAAGTAATTTATAAATATTTGTAAATTAAAAGATTGTGAGAGAAGGCATAAATATTATAAAATTTATGTTAATATGCTTAAAATTATGTCAATAATCTTGAAATTATGTCACTAAGCTTGAAATTATGTCAATAAGCTTAAATTTATGTCAATAAGCTTGAAATTATGTCATAGGAATTATCATCAAGTAATTTATAAATATTTGTAAATTAAAAGATTGCGAGAGAAGGCATAAATATTATAAAATTTATGTTAATATGCTTAAAATTATGTCAATAAGCTTGAAATTATGTCACTAAGCTTGAAATTATGTCAATAAGCTTGAATTTATGTCAAGCTTGAAATTATGTCAATAAGCTTGAAATTATGTCAATTAGCTTAAAATTAAGTCAATTAGCTTAAAATTATGACAATAAGCTTAAACATATATCAATAAGCTTTAAATTATGTCAATAAGCTTTAAATTATGTCAATAAGCTTGAAATTATGTCAATAAGCTTGAAATTATGTCAATTAGCTTAAAATTAAGTCAATAAGCTTAAAATTATGACAATAAGCTTAAACATATGTCAATAAGCTTAAAATTATGTCAGTAAGCTTAAACTTATGTCGATAAGCTTAAATTTATGTCAATAAGCTTAAACTTATGTCAATAAGCTCAACCTTATGTCAATAAGCTTAAACTTATGTCAATAGGCTTAAACTTATGCCAATAAGCTTAAACTTATGTCAATAAGCTTAAACTTATGTCAATAAGCTTAACCTTATATCAATAAGCTTAAAATTAGTTAATAACCCATATTCACATCTAAAGGGTATTTATTGTTGAAAATCAGGGAGTAGATATTTTTGAGGGAAGAACGAGACAAATAAAAATTTTGTACTCTGCAGATAAAGAGGAAAAACAGATTTTCTATTCTCTCGAATTCAAGAATAATAAGTTTTTTTATTGAATGTTTGTAAAACTTTAACAAATGGAGTTCTTTCCAATAACTGGAGGTTTGCAAAACATAAAAATTGTTATATCTCATATTATAAGTGTGAATTTGAAAATATTTAGTTTTGTTTACCAAGTACATAAAAAATTGAAATTAGCATTTAAAACAAACAATAATCTTTGAAAGGAATCTCAGGTACTTGAGCATTTCCTGAATGGGAGTTCACTAATTTTAATTTAACAAGTATATTTGAAGTCTTAAGTCAACTGTGTTATTTTTTTTGTAAATGTTCTCATGGGCAACTTATGATAGTATCATTTGACTTACAAGTGAGGAAAACCTGGAAAACCTTATCAAAACAATAGGCTACAGGGATTGAAATATGTATGTTAAATAAACATTTAATTAGTGTAAATACACCATCCATCAAATCCTATAACAAACTATGGAAATTAAAGAAAATACACATGGTTTAATGTAGGATCTGAACTATTGTCTTCGACCTCTAAAAGACAGGTAATTGAATACCTAGAGCTAGACAAACACTGAAAATGTATATTGATCAATAGGTTGCCCCAAGTTTGTACTATTTATTTTTCAGCATATGAAATGGCACTGGTTTATTTACAACAGTACTTTGTAAATTACTTGTGTTCATCAATATGTCCTGTGTAGGCTTTATTAGAATCAAACAGTGGATGGTCGAATGGAGTACACTTTCACTTATTAAGCATTTTAATTAATAAAGGGAACATCTTTTTGAATTATTCAGTAAAACAGTTGTTTATTTAAACATGTGTTCAGTTAAACAAGAATAACATAAATTGTCAATAAGCAGGCCTTACCTTAGATTACTGTATCTGAGAAGACTCGTCAGATTTATGCCATTTCCTTTAATGACAGTGGTTCCTATGGTTGTGACTTCTATAGATTGAGAAGCTACAAATACTGCACATCCTAACCAATTTAAAGATTCGCCCTGAAAAAAAAATTATTGAAGGGAAATTCGTTGAGTTGGCAAATAATAAGTGGAGTGGTAAATATTAATTAATTTTTTTAACACATTTGAAGTGTCCTAAATGGACAATAAGAAAACAGACATTCTAATGGTTTAAATACTGTAATTACAATAAAAACAAAAATTGAAAGACTACAAATCATGTTAAACAAATACCTATCTTTTTTTAATCTTCCTGTACAAGGCTTCAAAGAATATAGAAGAAATAAGGCATTGGATTATAGGATTATATTGCTTACATCCAACTATTTTTGAGAATACTCACACAAAAGAGACTATCATGTGGATACCTGTAATATTTTTAGTCAAAATAATTCAAGTTCTTTAAAATACAATTACTTATTATCTTAATTTTTCATCTTTATTTTAATTATATTCTTATATTACTTATGTTTGGGGCTTTATGTTGTACCATTTATATAATTTGTAAGTGTAGTATACTCAGGATAAATTATTAATAATAAAAACGTACCTCTAAAGAGAAATTCTTATTTATGCTGGTAAAATTGTCCCATGCAATTGATACAGTTTTTTGATCCAAATTTAATTTGCTGCACAAATCTAACAATTTCTTGTGCAGCTGGTCCTCTCCTTCCTCTGATAAAACCATTTTGATTACGATTTATAACGAAGATATCTGAAATATCAACAATATTTATCACAGCAACTTTCCTAGGTGTGTATTCTGCAACGCCTACAATTAGCGGGAAAAGTGTAATTTTTCTTTTGTTGTTCCCGAATCTTTTTATTACATTGCGCGGGAATGGCATTCAAATACCTGGCATTTTTGAATTATTTGTGTTTATTTGCAAATAAATCGCGGGAGTTTTTTTGTTGATGTTTTGAAGATATATATTTGAAGGCGTAGCTCTTAGGAAAACATAACCTACTTGAAGATAATCTTTGTAATCGAAGAAAATCTTACCTTGAATTGAACACTAACACGTAACACTTAAAAACATTTAATAAAACATTTAAAAAATCACCATGAAATGATTATATTGATAAAAATTGTTATTATTTTACGTTCCCGCCAAGAGGGCTTGCGCTAAATGACAGCGATCGGTGACAGAAAGACAGATGTCAAAAATTGTTATCACGTCTCTTTTATCTGTTTAGTGTACAGCCACTTAAAAGTTTTTATTTAATTTAAATAATTTCATTGTCATCTCATAATCTCCAGTTAAAAGATTTTTATTAATCAAATAGTTAAATTAAATTTTTAATGCATCGCCTTAATTTGGAATAAAAAATTTTAATTTGACTCTGATTTTTGCATTTTGGGACATTTTGGGTACTCCAACGTAGGCTATTGCACTTATTCTTGGTCATGGTATTATTTTACATAAATTTGTAGTGCTATAAAATGGCTATAAATCTCCAGATTTCCTTAAATTCTTTAGTTTTTTCCATATTTTGTAAAATAGAGTACTCTAGAATACTCTAATTGTACTGTACTAATAGTCGAATTTACAAAATAATAATTGACGTATGATTGATGTAATTGACACTATTGACAGTGACAAATAACAATGTTTGAGGTTAGAATAAAAAAAATAATATTTCAAAATAGAGATTAAAAAATGTAATTGAACAATTTGTCGCAATAAAAATAAGTAATTTTGGCAACTAATAATTTACGAAATGTCTACTTTAGAAGTAGAACCAGGGGCAGCCCCTGAAAGTGGTCTAGTGACCACAGATACACTAGATAATTTTGACGAAATGAGTTGCAGTTTAGAAGAAATTAAAAATATAAACCCTTCGATCGAAGACGAAGAATCCAATGATAACGCGATAATTAATGAACATTTTGACGAAACTGTTAGTAACGATAATGAAGTAGCAAGTGTTGATGATGATTTTGAACTCAATAAAGATTGGATTGGTAAAGATAAGCATGTATTTGTATTAAGTATGGCAGGAAAACCGATATATTCACGGTAGTATATTACTTAAATGTGTGTTATTTCTTTTACGTTTTAACCATTTAATTTCTTAGATATGGTAACGAGGATAAACTAGCTTGGCTCTTTGGTGTTATGCAAACTTTAGTAAGTTTTATTCAATCGTCAGATGATTGTATTCAGAGTATACATGCAGGTAACACTCACTTTGTATTTTTGGTGAAAAAACCACTAATATTGGTTACTGTATCAAAAACAAGAGAAAGTGAGAGTCAATTACGGATTCAATTAAAGTAAGTTTTAAGATAATATATTAAAAATACTATATTTATACATAATCTTTTATTTTCAGTTATGTATTTAATCAAATTACAAATATATTAACTCTTACACGACTAAACAAAATATATGAGCAAAGACAAAACTATGATTTGAGAAGACTGTTATCTGGGGTTGAAAGACTTATAGATCATCTTTTAACATTCTCAGAGAATGAACCTTCGGTTATGTTAGGGGCTGTTCAGTGCTTACCTTTGGCTGCTTCGGTTAGGGATACCATCAGTTCAGCTATCACAGGAGCATGCAGTAAAATAAAGGTAAAATTGTGTGATGTACAATCAGTGATGTAGCCATACATTTTTCATGGTAAAATATCAGAGAAAATTGTTTTTATTAAAAAAAGGAAATAAAATAAGTAATTTTCTTTAAAAAATTTAATCAAAATATTTGTACAGAAAAACTACAGTAAAATTAGAAGGACAATATTTTTTTATGTTTTATATAATTTATTGTAAGGTGGCCATCACTGATCAGCACTCTTTGTTTGATACATATATATGTCCTTATTAAACCTTATCTAATTCATTGTAAAACAGAGTGTTCATATATGTATATAATAATATTAATAATAATACTTTATTAATCCTTTTAGATCATATACATGATATAGGATGTCATTTACATGTAAAGATGTACAATAGTATACATTTACAAAACTAACTAACTAACACATTTAAATATACAATTTAACAATAAATACACAAAATTAAAATTAGGACTGATATGTTTGAAAACACCCATATGACATAGGCTGTACCTTGTACTACAAAAACTATATTCATGAATGCTATAGGTGCATTTTTGGGATAAATAGCTTTTTAATTTGCATTTAAATGAGCTCAGATTATTAATTTGTTTTAGAGAGGTAGGTAGATGATTGAATAACCTTATTTCACAGTAGTATGAACTTTATTAAACATGGTGTAAAATATATAATAAAAAGTTCAATATTTCCATAGGGAGATCTGTAGACGTTTATAATAATAGAGTTTATATTCTTTACAAAAAAAAATTAAGCACAGCTTTCGAAATGTATTTCTTCTGATAGGCTATTTATAAAATTTCTTGTCTTATATGTAATGGTTTCTTTTATTAAAATAAGTGATCCACCATGAATTTTGTTGCTTCTAACGTATGAATCGGCGATGATGTAATCTTTAAAGTTAATAAAAGGCAACGAGGTATTATTACACCTACATTCAGTTATACAAACAATATCAGGATTATATTGATTCAGTAAAGGTTCAATTCGATTTGTTTTGTTAACAATAGATTGACTATTTACTTTTATAATTCTAAAATTATTACAGATGATGTTAGCAGCTGACGTGCTTGCAAAATTATCCCTATTATAACGACCATTATCATATTTATTTGATTTGTTATGGTTTGAATGATGGCTAATTACAGATTTAATTGTTAGTCTATTTGGCTTTGAGTCAGTCCAATGTCTAAAAAACCCTTATTAAGCATAGTTTTACATTGTTATCAATTTCAATAATATTTGCATCACATAGAGAAGTTTCAATTATTATGACTTCATTAACTCCTGACATATTATTTTCATTTGTTGTGGTTTGTTCTGAATACTGTATGAATGACAAATTTTTGTCATACATTTTTTTTTCGATTATTTTATTTTTTAACAGCCATGATATTTCAAAATTATTTATTTTATAACCTGCAGATTTATTAATATTTAAGTAGGCAAAATTATTTTTTGATACCAATCCACAGCATATAAAAATTCCTTTAGTTTCAGATTATATTTTAGTATTTTTAGTATTTGTTTAAAATTATTTTCTATTAAAGGAACTGATAAAAATATTACATTTTTTTTGAGTACATTTTTTTATTTTAGAATTTAAAAACTTAAAACTAGGATACTTGTTTTTTGTAATGTTGTTGCTCCCTCCTAGGACAATTACATAATCATTCGAAATTTTCAATGTCTTCTACAATTTTATTCATTTGAGCTCCAGGTTTCATGATCATTTCTACCAAAGCCTCTTCTTTATTAAAACGTTTCCTTATTTCTACATACATACCTCTACCTCTTTCATCAGTTAATATAAGTATTTTTTTTACCATTATTGATTTGAGTATGTGTTTGTTTTCCATACTTTTTAATACCAACCTACAGTTTATTTAATTGCAAATTGTAGAATTTATTACCTTCCAAATAGTGTTTGAATCGTTTCTGTCAATTCTTCATTTTTAATTTTCATTCCGTTTAACTCACTAATCATTAAAATGTTTTTACCATTCGCACATTTATTAGAACTTGCTAATTCATCTAGTTTCTCCTTTAAATTCCCTATAACATTTTCATACTCAAATTTTAATTTTGTTAGTGTCACTTATACATGTTATATAATCGTTCTCTAAAACCTTGATTGTTGTTACAATTTTTTTACTTAAGTTGTTTAATTCTGTTATATCTGTTTGTAATTTTTCTATAAAATTATTTTTTTCCATGAGTAAATTTTCATATTCTTCAATTTGATTGTTTGATTTTTGCAGATTACGTTTTAGGATATTAATTTCCTCCACCTGATTCGCAACTTTGTCTAACTCTTGTAAGCCTTTTAATATAACTCTTTTTCTTCCAATTCTTTCTTTAGAATAATGACTTCTTCTGTATATCGGTTTTCTTTAGCTTCTTTCTCCACCTCAAAATTATTTTCTTTGAGCGCTTTTCCCTGACATACAATTGAACAGTATATTTTATGGGTACCAAGTCTAACTACATTCTTTTTCCTTTCTAGACAACTCAAATGAAATACTTCAAAACAGATAATGCAACAAAAGTTTAGAAACTGTTTAGCTTTACAGCAAGTAAAAGTAGGTTCCGTATTCTATTTTAATTTCCAGTTAAAATATCTAGTAATACGCCACTGGACGATAATTTTAATTAACGATTTATTTAATTTCTTTTATCTTAAAAGTTTTTTCACTGCGGCGATGAATTATTTTTGATGTTTTTTTTGCACAAAAGTATTAATTTTAATTATTATCATAGTTTGTTTCAAACACAAATTTTCGCGAAAATTATTATTTCACATTAAAGATTAGAACGTGAGCTTTACTTTGATATAAAATTTATTATTTTCTGTGAATTTTTTCTACCGAAATTTGGTTTAAAATGCAGAGCACATGTTTTCCGACCTTACTGTGCTGTTTATTGTGTTCCTTGAAATGCTAAGTCATAGAAATTTGGCTGCTTTCAGTCCTAGAACATTTATACACATGAAACCAGTATCCATTTTTTTAACAATGTATTAATAAAGTAATTGTAAAGATCTACTAATCCAAGTGTATAATTTTCTAATTCGTCTTAAAAAAAATTATTGTTTTAATTTCAGAATCTAGTATTTGCAATACTCTTAGCGAACAACAAGCTCATTACATTAGTTCGAATGAAAAAATATTGCCTCCATCCTGCCGATTTACATCTGATATTCAATTTAGTCCAAGCGTCGGAAAGTTTTAAAAACTCAGAAAGCTGGACTCCTCTCTGCCTACCGAGATTCGACGCAAGCGGGTTCCTTTATGGACATGTATCTTACTTATCTGAGGACTGCCAAGCATGCTTACTCTTATTAACTGTCGAAAGAGATGTATTTTTTACTCTAAGCGAAGCGAAACAGAAGATCGTCGAGAAATTACGAAGAAGTAACTGTTTAGAAGCCATAAACGAATCGTTGAGTACCCCAGGTGAAAGCAGCGCTAGCGCAGGGTTCGTAGAAATTCGCCATTACCTGTATAAATGCAAATCCACTTCTCAGTTCTACCAACCTATCTTGAGCCCGCCCTATACTCAAACCAAAGAGCCGTTAACCCGAATTTACAAGAGGGCGCATCACAGACTGCATAACAGTTCGAGGCCGCTGAAATTGATGTTCGAAAGGAGCGCCGACGAGGCCATCTTAGCTTGGGATACCAAAGGGTTCGAGTTGTTTGTCGTATTTGAACCTTTAATAGATACTTCAGCGGCGATTATGTTGGTCGGTAGGCTTTTAAATTGGATAAAAAAGAAAGAGGAACGATTGTTTCATCTCAATGCACCAACTTTTTAAAATGTGTAAACTGTAGCCTGAAATTTTTCTGAAAGAAATAACTCTGAATAATTGTTTCTAGATGGGGATATATTCTGTCGAATATATTTTGCTCTAGAATTTATTTTAAGAGAGATACATTAAAGTGGACTTCTTGTAGTAAACACATTACCCATGTAATTCTGTTAGAAGGTTGTCAAAACCATACAACGACGTGCTTTACAGAATGGCTAGACACATTATTACGTGAAATTAATTTTCTTAGTTTTAATTAATTTCTTAATGTCTAATAACACATTCTCTGAGATCATTAATAATTTATACTGGATCCTCTTCCTTTCACTCCATCTCGACGAAGCAAGTTGTGAGAATAATTCGTGTAAAGCTTGTCAGGTAATCTTTTATTTTGTTATTTAGTATAATTCAGGTCATTTTTACTATATGGTCGTAGCGTCTCACGAAGAGGTGTCGCCATTTTGTCTTTTTCGCTTCGTTTTTTGACATCATTTAGTAATCTAATTATTAATTTGTTTGTAGGAATATTTTATGGTTAATTGCAGACCAAATTTATGTTTTACTTTTGTTTTTTTTTGCGGTATATAACATTTTCTTTCGATATTTTACTGTCTTCATTTATATTTAAATCTATTCCATTTCGGCCAAGTAATGGAGACTTTTTTATTTAATTTTAATGAATCGATTTGAAATATCAAGACATCTACGTGGGATCTCGGAGAATTTGTTATTAGATATTAATTAAAACTTTCATTTCACATAACGAAACGATCCAGGGGTAAAATCTAATCAAACCTATTTTTTTCATTTAATTTGGGTTTGGTGCCCTCTTTTGTAGCTAGCCAATAAGCAATAAAGTAAGTTCCTCTAAAAAAAGTCCAAAAGGTATACCATATATTAGTGATGATCTAATTTGTGTTATAATGAGGTAGTCTCAAGTAGAAAATATAGGTTATAGGTATTCAATGAAAGAATGGTTTGTAGTGTCAATTTGCTTAAACTTTCACAAACAATATAAGGCACTGTTATTAATAGAAAGTAGCCCAATTAATTTCTGATTTTGTCAACATTAATTGGACATACAAAAAACAGCATTGAATAACTCACTACTACAACCTCCTCAAAATGCAATTCCATACACTTTTAGCTGTTTCTGCTACCTATTTCTTTTGCCACAATTCTGACTGCAAAACATCCAGAAGAAAGTTTTTTGTTTAATAATTCTCTATGGTCCTTAATTTTTAAATTATTGTCTGAATGAATGCCCAGAAATTTCACCACAAATAGTTGGTGTCGCACCATGCTTTGATTTTTTTAATGTGCCGTAAAATCGTAGTGAGTATAAGTAAAACGTTAAGTCATTTATAAAAAGAAAGAAACAAATGGGACCCAACACAGATCCCTGAGGAACTCCCCAACTTATATCTAAAACTTGAGAGTCCTTAGTAGCTCTTACCATTTGTTTACTGACACAATCAAACACTTTAGTCAAATCATAGAATAACTCTACTACAGCTTCATTAAAATTAATTTTAGAATAAGCAAGTTCAAGATCAGAAAATATTCGTAACAAGCAGAACGCGGGCAGGCAAGGCGATCCAGTACTGATAATTGCTATAAACAACCAATTATGTGTAATATTCGATTGATTTTCTCCAAATACTCGGAAATGCTCATGCATCGCCCTGCTGTGCCATTTTGAGTCGGATTTTGTAGCGTTACACTTATGGGGAGTGCAGTGTTTTTTGTTTTTTAATTAACTGTCATTGAAACACAAATTACGTCGCTTTAATATAGTGTATTGCAAGATTTATTTGAATTTCAAATATATTAATTTTTTTTAAGGAATTTACTGTTAGTTCCTACTTTTGCCTTTTAACACAAACCCCAAATAGTGGGCCTAAAAATAATTGTTCACATTTTATGATTACATGAAGATTGTTCAAAGTCTGAGAAGTCTCTCGTGAAAATCGATTTTGGCAGGCAATTTTTTTTCCTAATTCAATGGTTTTGCATTTTTTATTACTGTTTTTTACGAATTTTAATGGAAAGTATTAGGCAATCAAACATCCTGTCTAAAAAAATCAAATATAACATAGGATTGGCAAACAAAGCTTGTTAACCTAACTTTTTCATTAGTCTTGACAGTTTTTATTGTTGTTTTAGAATTGTTGCTCCTTGAAATAATGATCATACGTTATTAATTTGTTGAGTGTTTGCCAATCGTTCACCATTTTAAGTCACGTGATTTGGATTGCCTAATCATGCAATTTAACGTCCTGTTAAACAAATTCTAATATAGCCAACGAATGTACCTGTGGTAGTTTGTTAGCATAATATTTTCATTCGTGTTTGACTGTTTTTATTGCAAGTTGGTGAGCTTTAGAACTGTTTATCATTAATTTAAAGATTATCTAAAGGATCTTTCATTAATTTGTAGTGTTTAAGATTCAAAAAGATGTGTATTAAAAGTACATTTAGTATATACTTATTATACCTTATGCATTCAATTGATTCATCTTCAGCTATGAGAACCAGAAAAAACATTTGACAATTATGCTATGACACTGGCGAACAATTTAAGAAATTTTCCTGTCAAACTTGACATGAAAAACTACTTTTGAACAGACTGCAGGTTTTGAATGATCTTTAATATAAAACTGCATATTATAACAATGAGCAAAAACTGTACCATAAATATACTATTTACATTAAGTACCTTATTAAGAGAAAATTTTAAATAAATGAATTATATAGAAAGAGTCTGTAGATAATTTGATATTAAAAAAATAGCTGCAGGAATATTTTATAAACCTTTCATAATAAAAAAAATTTTTAGTTAGAATCGAATGAAACCAAAAATATATATTGGACATGTAAAATTTGTGAGATTATATTTCTTTATATCAATTTTGGATATATCAAAGTATCAGTGTATAAATCTTATTTAAAATAATCTAAACTGTGATAATCACATTCTTTATATAGTTTTTTTGAGCTCTAAGTAAATGTATTAGAAAAAAAAATGTATTTTTATACCTCTCCTCTAATTCCACTAAAAATCTCATTGATCTGTACATTTTTTAATCTCTGCTCATCTGAACTTTCCTCCATCTTCAGTTCAGCAGCAAATATCTAGTACAGGTATGTGGAGAACTGCTTTGTATATACATACTCCTTTTTCATTTATTTACTGTTAAAATACAATGGGATACAATAAAATGTTATTTTAATTGATTTAATACCACAAATATTTTTACAAAAACAAAATGATAACTTAGATTGTCTATTATATATTCAATTCAAAAAAGAGTTGTCAACACTCAACATTTATCTCCTTTTTCGATCTTCATCACGTCTCCTATCTCTTCTATCCTTATCCTTATGACTTTTATCCTTATCTCTTTCCCTTTCGCGATCTCTATCTTTATCCTTTTTGTGCCTTTCTCGTTCTCTATCCCTGCTTCTGTTCCTTTCCCTGGATCTGCTCCTGTCTCGTTTCCTCTCTTTCCTCTTTTCATCCTTAGTTTCTTTGGGAGTTTCTTCTAAGGTGTATTTTACTAGCTCCTCTTCATCATCAATTTCTATATCATCATCTAAATCATCTTCCAAAGCAGACACTTTCCCTTCCAATTCGTTATTTTCTTCCAGAACTGCACGTTTTTGTACCCTGGGCAAAATTACATCACAAACCTGAAAAAAGATTGAATTACTTGAAGTTCAAGTATGTATAATATTTCTTACTCTTTCATCCCTAAGAAGCTCATCAATAAACTCATCCATGTGCACTAATTCAAACTGGGCTTGGCGATTTTGTCTTCTCAGCTTTCTATTATCATTATAAAGGGGCTCCAAATATTTGTAGCAGTCCAAAGATGATCCAGTAAGTCTCATATAAAAAGCACCTAGTGCTCTCACGTACTTAAACTCTTCATTTTTTATGAATTCAACGACAATATCCTTCTCAGGTTGAATTTGTAACATTTTTAACGTTAGACATAAGAAAGGTGTGGGTTTGATGTTACCTCCAAAAACACCACCAATAAACCTTAATTCCATAGCTTTATCTACTAGAAGCTCTGCCGTAAGCGCGAAGCATTCTTCCTTCCAGTATTTTGAATCGTAAATACGTGATCGGATGATTTTTTCTACCAAATATTGGGGGTTTGTCCCATGAACAGATTTCGCGTCTTTTACTGTTCTATTCGCCATAATTGTTATTAGGTGTTAATTACTACAGTTGGAGTGTCTGAGAAAATTAGTTTACTTCATTTTTAAACTAAAATCAGAGCGAAAAACTCATTTTTATTTAAATAAACTATTTTATAAAGTTAAAAATTGAGGTTAATTAATGTTTGGTGGACTGTCAATGTCAAGTACGTCAAATTACGTTGTCAAAATATTAGGCTGCGTTTAGATCATCGTTCAAGTTTAAAATGGTTCGTTTTTTAGACGATCTATTTGTAAGGAAAAATCTGTGAAAATTACATTACATACCTTACATTTTCTGTAGCCTTATTGCAGGTGATACTTTAGAATCCAACATTTACAGTAATGAGTTCACCAATCACCACTGCCCGTATAAAAAAGGGCTTGACGCAGAAAACGAACATGGAGTTGAAGCCTAATTAATCCGACGTAAATACACAGATGTCGCCACCTGCACCTGCTACAAATGGTGAAAATCCCCCTTTATTTAAAGTTCAAAGATTTTTTCATGATTTCGCAACATTTTTTGTATAGTAGAACGAAACGACAAAGAGAAAATTAAAAATGTTAAATAATAGAGAAATTATAAAAATGTGTGAAGTCTTAGCTGAGCAAGAAAATTTGCGAGTTACAATAAATGAATCTATAAAATGTGGATTTTATGCTGGATGTGGTGCACTAGTAGGAGGAATATTTGGAGGGCCCATTGGAGTAGCATTAGGTATTTTTTTGATAGACTGGTTCATACAATTAAGTTTATTTTATGTAAAGATTATTTAAGGGGATTGACACCTGCTTTTAATCAGTTTTATTTTTTGCCTATATAATGTCTGCATGGTAGTAACATTGATATTTAAGCTTCAACAGATTATATGCAGTCTACATTTTCGATCATTCCAAAACTATTTGAAAAACTTTTGATCAATCCTTTGTCAACAAACTACCTATTCTTTCTAAATTTTATGCTATTGCTAATTTAAATTAAAAAACTTGGTACCTTTATTTATCATGCTTTTCTAACTTGGCTTAAAACTATTTAAAAAAGAGTTGAAATGTTGAGGATGGCTGATAGTCTGTCCTTCCAATATGACATTTCCTTAGGGGATTCACAAGGTTCTCATTTGGTACCATTATTTTTCTTACTATGTATATATCAATATGGTATTGAAAGATTTTCGAATATAATAATTTTCTACTTTTGCTGATAACCTAAAGATATATGTGCCCATTAGTTCAAACAACTTTTGAAGTTTCAATTTAAAACCTAATTTCCAACAAGAAAACAATATTAGTGTGAGTGAAAGGGTGGAGGTAAAACATAATAAATTGATTGTCCCTAAATTCGATGGTGCTGAACCAGGCATACATTTACATATATTTTTTAGGAGGAAGTTTAGCCTCTATAACATCAGCTTGGATGTCAAAACACAAATTTAAGTCTGTTGTAGAAATAATTAGAGAAGATTTGACTCCCGCTCAAAAAAGGACCTTAACTGAAAATATGTCAAGAGCATTAGCAAATATCAAACCAGAAGATTATGTTCAATTGGCGACCTTAGTTTTAACCAGCGCCTCTCTAAAGGAAGTCGTTATGAAGGAGCTTTGCGGATTTTTATTGAAAGAACTTAATTTACGTATGGTGCAATAAGAGTTGTTTTTCTAATTTGGTTTTTGTACTTTGTTAATAGTTTAGTAGGTGATTTACCAGTACGATTAAAAAAAATGGTATTATGTCAATTGTCTGAATCTCTTATGTGATATTATAAATATATTTTTTATGTAAAAAGTGTTTTTTTTATATATATTATACCCTCGATATTTTGGTAAAATTAATTTTATGTTCCCACATATTTTGGTAAAATTAATTTTGTTCCCACATAAAATTAATTTTACCAGAATAAATCGCACATAAAACTAATTTTACCTAAATAAATCCCACATAAAACTAATTTCATAGAAATAAATTACACATAAAATTAATTCACCAAAATAAATCCCACATAAAATTGACTTAAAAAACCCACATAAAATTAATTTTTGTGTGATTTTAAAGATAATTTTATGTAGGATTGATTCATTTTGATAAAATTAATTTTGTGACCGATTTTGTTTGTGTATCAATGTCTTACACTAATATAAAATTCTGCCACCATGAGTGGCTATCTCTGGGGCAATTATTTTGATGAAATATTTATGTGGGGTATATTTTGATGAAATTTTATGTGGAAGTTATTTTGATAAAATTAATTGGATTTATTTAGACAAAATTTATTTTATGTGGGATTTGTTTTGGTAAAATTAATTTTATGTGGGACATTATTTTGATAAAAAAAATTATGTGGGATATTTTGATATGTTTATGTGGGATTAATTTTATGTTTTATATTGATAAAATTAATTTTATGTGGTTTTAGTTTTGTATATCATTGTCTTACTATTAAAGATGGCCGCATTCGAGCAGTTATTGGACACCTTTCTTCATTTCAATAAAAGTGTGTTGCAGTCAGTTTATTCATTTTATTTACTGAGAAACTGTTCAATTTTTGAATTTTATTATTTTCTTACAATAGCAGTGAATATATTAATGTTTTTTGATATGGTTATTATTATTAAAGTTTTTTCTTTTTGCAATGAATCATGCAAATTAATGAAAAATTAACATTGGTCTGTTTTGTGATTTGACTCTATATATCAACAGTCAGTAATTTATTGCACGAGCGCTCAAAGCACAGAGTTACCGTGTAGTTGTAAAAATTCTCCCAAACGAATTGGTAAAGGTAAAACAGCTTCCCGCTGTATATCTTAGATAAACTTTGTATACATCACTGCTTTTCTGCTATTCCTGACCTCAAAGCAAACGAAGTCTATCACTTTTTTATGTCTTATTTCTTGGCTGATAAAATCGGTCCTTGAAATAATATAATAAAAAAAAAACGACACCTGGTTTTGTTTAATTATTTACAATCATATCTAAACAATCGCTCGAGTTTTGGCAAAGGACGTTCATTAAAATTTATGAGCCTATGATAAGATTTTGATACGTGAGTTACTATAAAAGTTACTTAATCCAAAAAATCCTTTTTGAACACTGGCAGGTAAAGGAATGAAATGTAAAATTCAACTTAAAATGTATTGGTTAACTGTCAAAGTATTCGTGGTTCTTAAATATAATACTTTCAGCTTCGTCTAATTTTTGTTTGGCTTGATCAATATCATCCTGTATGGCTGCTATCAGCGCGTCCATCGAACTAAAATCCTTTTCAGGTCGAATATATCCAAGAATGACTATTTTCATTTCTTTGCCATAAAAATCAGCTTCAAATTTATGTATAATATGAACTTCCATCGATTTTTGTTTGTTTTTAAAGAAAGGGTTCCATCCGATGCTCATGACCATCTTTCTAACAATATCACCCTCGACTTGAGCGAATCCATAGTAGACTCCGGTGTTTAATTCCTGCGGGACACTGTTTACAACTTCAACAGGCAAATTCGCTGTTGGGCAGCCCAAATCCTTTGAACCGCGGCCGAAACCTTTGATCACTTGCCCTTTGACAAAGTGTGGAAGGCAATTCATCATTGATACGCAGAAAATGTTTATCTAAAAACAAAAATATCATTAAAGCGATACTTTTGGGTTTAAAAATTTATTTTATAAATAATAAACGAATTTATTTCTTAAAATGGACCTGTAGTTATGACTCTATAATATCTTCACGTTTTATAAATGCAACATAATTGCATTATCTTTTAATAATTGGAATATAACAAGGTAAAGGTTCTGTAGACCAATATATGCTTATAAAACGTACCAGGTAATTGATCCCACATTAAACATGGAATCAACAGATTCTTCAAGATCAACGAGGTAAATCAAGGTAGATAAGTTGTTAGGGGGACATCTTTGGTATATGGATGAATTTAAAAGAAGCATTGGAACAGGCTCTAAGGTACAAGGAGTTAAATCCAAATGCGATATTGGGAAAACGTACCACCCTCTATTTCAAGTTGAAATGCATGGAATTGTATGATGTTTAAAAGATAATCCTAAGAAGGAAGTACAGAAAACAAACCATCTTGATTTTCTCAGATAGCCAATGGCTTAAAGGCACCTGCTTCAAACAAAAAGTAAAAGCTGGTTGAATCTGGAACTGCCTTGCAATACTTAATGATCTAGAAAGCAACAATTAATAGGTAAAACTAGAATGACTACTAGAACCTAAACGTATCCAAAGAAATTAAAAAAAGGCTGATGACCTCGCCAAAGAGGGATTAGAACTCCTATTCATAGGAAATAGGCAAGTATCAGGCAAAGTTATTGACAACTACTCTGATAGCCAAGCAGTTTTAAAGGCAATTCTCTCAGCAGAAATCCAATCGCGACTGATGAAAGACTATCTAGAAAACCTAACAGATAAGTAGTCAAAACAAAGTGATCCTAGCATGGGTACAGACCACGAAGGATATCAGGGGAACGAAAAGGCCGACCAACTAACCCGAGAAGCCTTAGATAAGGCCAGGATAGGCCTCGAACCCTTCTGTGCAGTTGCTATAAGACATTGTACAAAGCATCAAACAGTGAATGCAAAAAGAGTCTGGAATAATGAAACAACTATCCAAGATTGAGACACTTCAAAGAGTTCATTAAGGAAGCGTTAACCAAGTAAACGAAAGATCTACTGAATAAAAAACGACAACAGTAGATCTCCTTAAGAAGCACATGAATGTCACCAATCCAGGAGAAGAAACAATATTCTGTAAGTTTTGTGAAGAAGAGGAAACTTTAATCCACGTCCTGTGCCAGTGTGAATGCTTAAAGGTTTCTAACACTAGGTGAAGAAAAGCCAGAAGCACGTAACTACATGTGGGAGCCACTGTCAAATTTACTAACTCTACTAAAAAAACCAAGCTAGACGACATACTCTTAATAACGGAGTCCCATAATAGACCTGAAAAGGTGGACAAGGATAAATAATGTCAAAAACTGCTTTCAAATCTAATGTCCTATTCACATAACCCGCATAATGCTCGACAGCCAGTGAACAGGCAGATATTCACTAAACAACAAACTCACTGGCAATAGAGAAGAAGGGGTACATAATCAGTAAGCTCATGCTAAGGGGACCAAACCCACTCATGGCTATCGAAGGTAGTATAACTTGCAGGGACTCAGATATCCACTGCTTGCCGAAATACCTTATGTGATGGAATTACACACTAATTCCACCATGTATAGAGTCTGCATTGAAGAGGAAGATACTTTATACCATATCATCTTCGAGTGTGAAGCTTTAGCTAGAAAACAATACACCCTTTTTAGTATATAACTGGAAAGAGTATTCAAGGAACACTCTTGGTATAGCGAACCTATAGTAACTAACTGCAATATATTTAACTCTAATTTGAAAATGATTGTAACATAACTCTTGAATTCTTGTATGTTGCCGGAAAAACTGTACAAATACACTGTCAGGAATTTTTTATCAGGTATAATATAATTTTCAATACTAATAACTTGCTACACGATAATACTAACACATCTAACAAAAAAATCCTAATTTGAGAGTGATAGCTAAACTCCTCAAATGAATTCGGGTTAATTCATTTTGGCCAAATAACGTTGATTCTACAACCATTTTATTCTAAACTACCGGTACAAATATAAAAATATATCTAGCAAATTAAGGAACTGGATTTTATATGGTGATACAATTTGAAAACAAAAAATAATATGAAATATTTATAATATATATATTATTCCACTAACAAAATATACACGAGGATATTTAAATATAGTATCTGAATACAGGTAAAGTAGGGGAATACAATATAGACCCAAAAGGCAGGATATTTAAATATAGTATCTGAATACAGGTAAAGTAGGGGAATACAATATAGACCCAAAAGGCCGCATTGTTCTGCGGGCTAAATCAGACCCTACCTGCTTGTATCTGACAAAGATTAATGAGTTTATTTTCAGTATAATGTAGATGTCTATGAGTCATTTCAAATACACCATAATATACCTAATACAACAAACCCAGCGAATATGTGTGCTAGCAAAGTCAGAATATAACATCTGTCATTAAACAAAACTGCTTTTTCGCCATATTACTATGAATATATTTATGTAAAATGACGTATTTATTTAGCAAAAGAATTTGCAAAATATGCTGCATTCCCATTAATAAAAAAAAAACAATTCAACCTTTTGTAAATTACAAGAAAACGAAATAAGGACCGATTCCACCGTTGTGTTAAACGAAGTTTAAAATGACATTTTTACATTAACGTTATTTTAATCTCCGTTTAACACAACGGTGGAATCGGTCCTAAACACAATAAGTTATTCCAATTCTTCAAGTTTTTAAAATAATTGATCAACTCAAAACAAGCATGTATAGAGTTTAAACTATATTTTTTTGCCCTTAAAAGTGCTTAATTAGAATAAAAATTATACTAATAAATATAAAAACATATGCATTACTTTCATTTTTTAACAATAAGTAATCTGTATTTGCTTCATTTCTGTTATAAAATAACGAACAAACTTACTCTTTTGTATCCTCCTCGTCCAATTAAACGCCCGTAGCGTCTATCGTAACCACTGTCTAACGCTTATGACTGTGGCAGATTGGTAGTCCGAGTCCGGTTCTGTACTATGCTATTTTCGTTCTCAAGTTAAAGGCTAATAATCCAAGTTCATTCAAACCTAAAATAAAAATAAGTTATTACGTTATAGATTTGTGAAAACATTTGATAATGTTAACCGTAAATGACGATTCTGACAAAAAAGTAAGTGAACTTACTCATTAATGTTTTCTTTAAGCTTGGAGGTTATCTTTTATCTACAAAATTCGATAATCGTCCTTTGGCCGACCTTCGTTCTTAAATTTAATGAATAGTATGATTTTATTGATTAGTATTAAAGAATTTAACAAAATTAAAATGCTGTACTAACCTAATATACCTGCATAGGTATAACTTTACTTTCTACTAGCTGTCGACTGTACATGTAATCTATACTCGAGTATTAGGTACCTACCTACCTACCGGGTGCAAAATAAAAATAAGATTTTAATCTTTGTTGGTTTCAGTTGTAATATCAAAGAATATTATAAGTAGTTATTTGTAATCTGATAATCTATATAATTTTTTGTTTAGTATGTCATATGTAACAATAAACTAGCGAACTGTTAATTTTGAATTTTATTATTTTTAATCATGAAAAAGAAGGGTTATGATTTTGAAATATTTAAAAAATAGTTAAAAAGTATGTAAGAGAAGTTATAATATAGTAGGTATATATACAGGGTGTCTGTAAAATGTCTTTACAAAAACATTGCTACTATTCCTTAGACTTTAGACCAAAATAAGCCGATTTAAGTATAAAGTGGATCAGTTTGGGCGGTAGACGGCCCCGAAATTACAATTTTTTGAAATCGTTTCCCCATTATAAATTTTAAACGGCTTTGGTACATTAACAGAGTTTTATGTGAGAAAAAATAGCATCAAAATTATGACTAATATTAATCCATAGGCATAGAGCTTAATTTTTTCAATATTACACATATAAAATTTCTACGCCAATGAAAAAAAAGGGGTTTGAGTATAAAATTTGGATTTATTTCACAAAAAGTGTTCTAGTTTTAAGATATCCCAACCAGCACACTTCTCTTATAACCTTTGAATTATAGAACATTCAATAAAGGTTTTATATAGTTGTTTCAGAAATTCAAGCAATACAGCGTATGATGCAATTTAGCTGTTGAAAACAAAATAACACTATAATGTTATATAAATATTCTTAAAGCATATTTATTATGTTATAATTTTTTCTTATAAGTATAAGAGATACTGAGTATTTCTTAAGAACAGCTATAACAGCTTATTCTTGATTTATAATGGTTTTAGATTTGTCTTTAGTAACATTTTAAAGTTAACTATAAATATAAAAACGTGCAAATTTATAAAGCATGCTGTTTGATATAACAATAAAATACATTGGTTATATATTCGACACTCATAAGGGAAGTCGCCTCTTGTTAAGGCAATTTGTGCAATATGTATAAAGCAAAATTGTTCAACAAACATAAAATACTCTTATTGCAGCTACAAAGATAAAATAGACCAAACATAGCAATTACAAAGTATCCTTTAAATGTCTTTAATACTGCTGTATTAGTAACACTTAAAAAAACATCAAGGAGGTAAAATGCTCTCAAAGAACACAAAAATATTCGTGCCACTGGTTTAATAGAGCCAATTTGAAACATTTCATTATTTCTTTTTTAACACTTTATTGGCTTGTTGATGTTTGAGTTAACAAAATGGACATTTCACCTTGGAAAAAGATTAAAAAAAGCGGCGCATTTCAAAGAAAAGTGTTAAAAAATTATAAAAATTCAAATAAACACATGGAAATTCCAACTATCCTGTTACTATATTTTTATCAACTTTATAATTTGGAAAAATGCGTCATAAAGTTATTTTGTATTTGATTCGTCGTGATTTATTCCTCTAGAGTCTAGAGTAATATTTTGACTATAATAGAAACTATTAGTTCTTTAAGTCTGATAATTATATTAAATTATGTTAAATAGTACAGGATTAGGTATACCACATTTGAAAGTACCCTCATAGACAATTGGCAATAAATTCTTATAAATTATGGAAAAGTTAGGCAAATTGCTTTGTTGTTCCTGTTTTTAAAACATAAATGTTTTATAAATGCTTTTTGTACAACTAAAACCTTGGCCATATTTGAAATGTAAAATACAGGAAGGTCAAAAATTAAAAAGAAATTTGTTTGGTGAAATAATGTGATAATAGGCTGTAAACACCAGACTCAGGTCGGCACCTTTGATGGTTCAAATTTAAGTTACAGTTGAAGTTTCTGTTGATTATTTACACTGAGAAAAATGATCAAGATTCACATATTTAAAAAGATTTAAATATCTTTAACAAACATATGAAAAATGATTTTGATTTATCTACATCAGTTTCTTTCATCGTGTTGAGCATTGATTGTGGACTGTAATTATTTAGAACTCTTTATTTTAAAAATAACTAGAACATGAACATAAAAAGCGATTGACAAGCGTCACTTCAATTTCTTTCATTGTGTTGATTATAGAGCATTGATTGTGGACTGTAATTATTTAGAACTCTTTATTTTAAAAATAACTAGAACATGAATATAAAAAGTGATTGACAAGCGTGTTTTAAAATTATATTAATTCTTTTAAGTGTAACTTCAAAAACTCCTGAAATCAAGCGTTCTTAGGCGGCATAGGCATAGACACATTGTGTCTAAAATTTTATGAGGTATCTAAGGTTTTAAACATATCTCACCTAATTTTGACACAAATATCTTCACTAAATATATTCTCCAATTTAGTTCTATCTTTTTTTTAGATGCACTAAACAAGTTTTCTGAATAAAGTTATTCCATATTTTTTAAAATGGGATTACTTTGTACTCTTGAACCAAATTCTCATTTTTATTTTCCTTATAAATGGTAAATATTTTTTAAATGTATTATGTGGACATTGGGCTTTAGTTAAATCATTAACTTTTCGTCAATAATTAAATTTTCTGAGAAATTAACAATAACAAGTATTATTATAAAAATAAAAAAGTAAGAAATAAAAACAAAATAATTTTTTTATTGATTTTTCATATTTTTTATTTACATACTTTATTACTAATAGCCACAGGCTAAATATGCCTTGTCCTTTATTCGTCCTTTATTTTTTAATTAACATTTTATTTCTATTATTATCAAGATTAATAGTATATTATGTAATAAGTGTTGTAAGTAACTCATTACGCACGAAGCCGCGCAGCGGCGAGTGCCTAAATTTCACGAGTGTAACGTACTATACTTTTTCTAATCCCACTTATTTTCTTATATTAAATAAAGGACATATGCTTGTGTCTCCAATCCATAAATTTTCGATATGTAATTTCGTACCTCTCTTTTAATTTTAGCGGTAACAAATTATGTATAGGAGCTTGAGCTTTTTCTAAAATCTCCGGTGGAGTGCTCACAATTTCATCACTTTCACTACTAACAGACATATTCGTAAGTAAAGTTGAGAAAATGTTCGAATACAATAATATGTTGTTACAAAATTGACAATATAAATGGCAAGACGTTTATTTCCATAGCATGCTAAGAAAACGCGACTTTTTTTTTAAAAATTGTATAATGTGTTGCCGACATTTAGGGGCATCACTTTTTAATCCAAAATGTATCTCGCTAATGCTAAAAGTTTTTGTTTTTCAATTGACTAACTTTATGTAAATAGACCAAATAAAGTCGTACGTAGATAAACATTTGATTGCAATTTGATTAAACTAAGAAATTTAAGTTTTCTTATCAAAACGCACATGTATGTTATGAGATCTCATTACGTGCATATTATTGTTAAATGTCATTTATAAGGAATGTTGACAGTGCGATTTTTAACGTTTACTGACATGAGTGTAGAAAAAATGACATTATACAGATTTATTAACATCCCTAAAGTGTCACTTTTTTGGCCGCTTTTTATAAACACAGTTTTATCATTCTCTTTTATTAGTTAACGATGGATTTTTATTTGATTAATAAAAGTTTGAAACATTTTTTGAATTTAAGCCTCTTTTCAAAAACAAGAATATAAAAAATACTGGCTCTACTACCTACTACCTAACCAGAAGTTGCTTGGCAAATTTCTGATTCGGCCAAAAAAGATCAACTTTACGGCCTTGGTACATAAATAACCATTTTACGACCTATAAACAATTAAAAAAAAAATAGAAATGTATGTTAAATTGAATGGCAATGGTTTCTGTTTTAAGTTAACTAGTCAGTGAAACTCAAATTACCACTATATTAACACTATAACATATTGTAATGTCACAGTTTATAGTTAAAGAATCAGTTTGCTCACTTTGCGTCGGCACTTTTGATCTCATTGTTCCAGTTTATACACTGCGCAACTCGGATTTGTATCCCTGGCGCATACAGAATTAAATCATAACCAATACAATACATGATAACTGCCTATATTTAAACAGGAGTCTTCTGCGCATCCTGAATTTGTATCCCTGGAGTGGATGTTATTTTAGAACATTCAACTGGTCCGAGTGAGCTAACTGATTCTTTAGTAATAAACTGTGGTGACCTTTTTCAATTATGTATTATGGTTTTCCAAACGATAAAAATAAACAGATATTTCCTCATTGTTTATTTCTGAAATTCCCTATGACGTTATTAATTTCGCGAAATACAAATTATTTCTTTAATAAATTCAGTAATTTACTTTAAAATATTCGCATTTATCAGAAAATGACAACAGTGGGTATTTTTACGACTCTAAAAATATGTATAGGTATTGATATTAAACCTTTTTTCACCCACTCTTTGTACATACTTTATTTTATTTATATTATACTCAGTGGCGGTTTGCCCGTAAGGGCACTTGGGCACGTGCCCTAGTATAATAAAAAAAAAATAACTTAAGATATTTTATATTTTCCTCAATGCATATTATTATTTTATCTAATATTCAGCGCAAACCGCGTTGGCACGACACTGGACGACCGGGCGTTGAGCGACGTTCCGAGAATTGCGAAATTAAGTGAAAGATGGGCACAGTAAATGTGTGCCTCTGTTGTTTTCTCTTTCATTATGATGCGAAAAACAAGGACAACGACAATATCGCTTAGCAAGAGATGAACACATGCGATGGATTATACGTCACAAGCAGGGCGCTGTCCTCATCGTGCGATACGAATGTACGCAG